AAAGAACAGTAGAGGTTGTGGGGTTCCAACTAGAAATATTTTCCTTTTTTTTTTTTCTTTTGTGAAGGGAAGAAGAGAGACCCTGAAAAACCAGAAGCCAGACACATCATCCCCCAACAATTTTATAAAGTGACAGGATACTTTGCTGTATGATACTCACTGACAGATCACATGTATAGAATGCACCCAACATTCCTGTCAAACAGGACATCTACACGACTTCTAAAATGCCAAAAATAACTATGTTTTTAAAAACTCTGCACTCACTTGAAAAAGCATGCTTCTGTACAGGTTGTTTCCCCTCTTTGTGGCACTAATATTAGATAATTATTGGAATCCAGAGTGTGCTATTGACAGGCACCAGCTGTCTTTACCATGTTAATGCCACATTAACAGAAAGAGTATTTTCTGACAGTCTGACAACAAGGAAGAAACTGTGAGATCAAACAATGGAAACAATTAGGATGAAGAACCCTGGCAACAAAACTAGCGAGACAGTAAGTTTCTCCAAAATCAGCCTATGGGGCAGGAGATGTGGAGAAGAAGAAAGAGCAAGTGCAAAAACCACTCTGCTGGAAAGCAATCCAAAGAATGACCAAAGGGTACATTGCCAAAAAACTGAAGGGAAGAACCGTAGAAGCTTCTGCCATATAATTGAGAAGAACAAGAGCACTACTCAACCACCACAATATTTAAAAATATAATTTACAAAATGAAATAAAAGTGTATGCATTAATAGCAGTGTGGGAAACAAATGTTAAAGCGAGGACCGAGTCCATCAGTAACTTTCTTTAAGCTAAATTACCAAGAAGTTGCCATTGGATTTCTGTCATTGATTTCACGAGTGGCAAAGGCAAGCATGAAGGCCAATTTTTCTAGCAGTGCCACAGCAAGGAGCAGGAGTCCAAGCAAGACTATTGCTTTTCATGATGCCTGACTGCAGGGATTACATTTTCTAATCATACCTCACATAATGTTAATTAGTTTGAAGCACTAAATATATGTCTCTGAAGTGACCTGCTCAACTCCACATGAGGCACTTTTTTTTTTTCTTTTCCAGAAACAGAAAGAAATCTCCTTTTCTCTTCAAGGCTTGGTCTTGATATCTCAGAATATCATAAAGACTAGGAAGTCAGAAAAATTGAAACAGTTATAGAGCCAAACCTGTTCACAAGGAATAAAGCACGATATATCATTTGTTTTCAATGTATGATAAGAGTCTTCATGTATACAACCTTCTAGGTTATTTTCAGACTGGGACCACAAGCAAGTTAATTGCTGCAGCATCCAGATCTTTATATCTTGAAGCTCATGGTATCTCCATGTCATCTCCACGTCCACGTCCCTAACACCCCAGAGTACTTAATTCGAGTATACCTCAATCTACAATAAATTTAGTTCCTCAAGTTATAGGCTAGTGATTCAAGAAGAGAAGTACCAAGGCTTTAGTGGTTAGGACTGACAGCGTTACCATGCTGCCTCTTCCCATGCTACTGGGAAAGAACACAAGAAGCAAAGCGAGTGACATCTCTATCAATTAAATGTTCTTTAAACTGAAGACTCTGGAAACAAATACTGGTAACTGGTCACGGGATCTGCAGTCTTAAGTAACAGAGACTATTATTCTAACCACTGCTTTTCCTACAATATTATCAACAGGGACCCCTTTTGCTTTGTTGTTTGTGGACCCAGAAGAGTCAGGTATCAACATTCTGAGATACAGAACTTCATGTAGCGAGTCTTACGCTTTACAAAGATAAATTATGAACATGTCTTTCCATGGTGATAAATAAAGACAAAACACCTTGATATCAATATAGCAAAGATATCTCTAGAAGTTAGTATATTTACTTTCTTTCTCTCCGAGTTCAATGCATACTTATGGAAAATAAGACAGATCAATTTGCAACTTGAGATCAGCTTAAGACAGTGTCAAAAGTGAGTGTTAGGTGACATTTTGGCACAGACCCTTCTTAGCAATATATAATACAGCACAGAATGGATTTGGCTACAGAGCTTAAAGACAATTTTCCACATCTCCTTTTTCAAGTGCTTTTCAATTTAAATTCAGGTGAAGTGATAACAGGCACATTCTGCAAGAGGTCCATATGTAGGTTTCCCACCTCTTCTGAGGATCAAAACCGAGTAAGAGAGAAATTCTGAACAGTGGTGAAGTACCTACTAAACCCCTGAGCTTCTTGCACTTGAATGCTTCAAGTGTAGCTGATACCAAGGCATTCCCGCATGTAGGCCTGGGTCTTTGCATTTGAACATAAAGTAGGGTTTAGCTTATATTTCATGTTTGTACAAAAATAAGTTCTACACTCTATTCCTCCACCTTTTACAACAACAGCTTTAATATTGTTGCTGAAGTCCTACAAGATGGAAGAAGTAACTGCAAGACAGAAAGCTTGCCCACTTTTCTTCCGTTGTTATGCTGAGGCAGCCCATACAAGATGCTACTAATCACCATAAACAGTGATTTCAATCTTCGTATCACCTGCAAAAATCTCTTTTTGGCTAGAAATGAATTATTCAGAACAAAGACTAAGAACGGGGCCTTAATCTGACCTCATATGTGATATAATCAAACTTATTCTCACTGAAGTAGCTGGAATGTGCTTAATCAGCATGAACTAATCTCATAAGACCTATGAGCTGCAGACTCAACTTGTACAATGTTTAAGAGAAGAGCTTCAGAGGAGCGGATAACATGAAGTGTTCCGAGTCCTTCTTAAACATTCATAGGAAATAAAATGCTAGAAGACAATGGCTTCTGCAGATATTTACAGGCTCAAAAAAAAAAAAATTATTTCTTGTGAAGGCAAAAGAATAGGCAAATTATGGGATTTTTGAAAACAGCATATAAACTGAGTGGGGTCCAAAAGGATTGCTAGTACTCAAATATGGGCATAAAAGAAAAACATCTAGAAAAACACAGAAGATCCACTGATCTGAACAGGAGGCTTAACAAAAATTATATATTCAGCTTTTATTTGCAGATTAGTGTTTTGGAATGGCTAGAAGGGAAGAAATTAAAGGTCCAAACAAAATATGACAGAATAAGTACTTAAATTAGTGCCTTCAAAGCACAAAACTAATTCTCCCCCCAAAAAACTCATTTCTTGAGCCTGGATGAGATGGGGGGGGTAAGGGAAAGAAAAAAGGCCTGACAGAAGGAGAAAGCCTAAACTATATTACCCAAGTCTTAAAAAATATTTCTTAGACAAACATATGAAAATGGCTCACTAGATCATGTAAACATTTGTAAAATTACAGACTAAAAAAAACCCTGAAAAATACACTGCATTGAGTAGTCCTATACATCACAAGATGGGGAGAAGGACTAGATGTAATCACGAGTCTTTTTTGCTTAATATATACCAATTCTGTATAGCTTTTTAATTAATAACACTGAATACCAGCTGTATGATCCACAATCTCCCATGCTCTCCAAATGACAATTCTTTCAAAGCAATGCTGCATACGCACTTTGGATACCAGAAGTCAGTCTGTCATGGTTTTGGATATCAAAGTGTGTATGCAGTGTTTGTTTTGAAACTCAAGATCACTACATTTTTTTAAACACTTAACACTGGAATACAGATACAATCTTTGCCATTACACCCAGAATTCAGAATGCCAAAGAAAAGCATACTTTTCATTGGAGGAAAAGAGTTCACAAGACAGTTACTTCAATCTAATTCCTGCCACACAAAAAAATGAAAGCTATGTATCCATATACACATACACACCTACACACAGGTGTGTGTGTGTATATATACACATACACACAAACACATACTCTCTGGTGAGAAGTAAGGGCCAGTAACCATGCTAATAAAATCAGTAATTAGTTGCACCATGATGTTTCCTCTCATATGTCTATCCCCCACATCCTTGTCAAGAGATGCATTCAATACCCTGGATGGCTGCAGGTACATCCACTGATATGTTTTCATGTGTAAGCTCCTAATCTAGTGAGCCTTCCTTCAAAGCTATTTTAAATAACACAAATCCTAAAGTACATGCAGGAAAATTGCCCAATCATTTCTATCGTAATTTATCACCTCCTAACTTTATGCCTAAATATGCTAACTTTATGCTTAAATACGTTTTTTCCTGTTAGAGCATAAAACAATGAGAACATCTATCAAAAAAGTTACAGCTAGAAAACAATAAAATTTTAATTTTAGTTTCTAGTTTTTTGCTTTTTCAGCCAATCTTACACAAAACTACAAGCAAGCTACAGTGATTCAGGTTTTTATGAAATTTAGGAGCCATATTTTAAACACAGATCAGTTGCAAAGTTAACACTAACTCATTGAGATAGTCAGCACTGTAAAATAAATTTATAAACCTATTGAAGAATATGATAATCACTATGTCATTATGCAAACCAAAGTAATTCATGACTCAACATCTGTATCTTCAGGAAGTAAGCAAAAAGCAGGACATAACCAACATTATATCCAACAGCACACTTTATAACCTCTTGTCCCAACACAGTATGTTGAGAATCAGAGAAAGCAATATGCTATTCGGTCTCACAACAAAGCACATGCTGGAAAGTACAAGCTAACAAGAACACCTTCAATACAGATCAGTCAGTGATCCACAAATACTGACACCTGCACTTCAGGGCCCACATGCTTAATTCTAAGTCAGCTGAGGGGGGTGTGCGGGTAAGTCAGAAAGCTAGACAAGGCCTTCCAGTCCAAACAAATGGGATACAATCAAGGTTAGTATTTCTTTACAAGAGTTTCCTCTTTCCTTCCTGGGAGGGATCTAAAACACATGTTCCAATCCTTACTAGGCAGCAAAAAAGCCCATTTAAGGCCTTTAAAAACTTTATTTTTAAGATGTCTCCAGGATAATAAATATTATTTACTTGCATGCAGGTATTTATTAAAAATACCACCAGCAGTCAATATTTGTTCTATGTATCCCCCATTTTAGCCAAGCAAGCTCTTGTTCCTCCAAAACACAGTGGCATTTACCTCACTGACCTTGGGACTGCCTTCCTCCAGTATTTCTCCCTCATCAGTTTGCATGGGAACAGGATCTGTGCAAAGCTCTGCAGAAATGCAAAATACTGCCTAAAAGATAAAAAAGAAAGACATATTTTAAAAACAATGATTTTTCTATTTTTAGATTTTTCTATTTTTCTATTTTAACAGTGTTATGTGAGATTGCAGTGCACATAAATAACAATTCTAGGCTATCACCCTTAATGTTCCAGTTCTGCACATATTCACTGAATTCATGTGTCTTACACAAACAAGTAAGACAAGAACATATAATTCTACTTAATTAAGAGAAAAAAAGCACCTAGCAGGAATATACTTTCTTTTTAATTTTAAAATCTCATTGCTTAGAACTTTACATATTCATTGTGTTTACTCATTAAAGCTATGGTCAGTAAGGAATATGAGCTGAGCAATTCTTACTAGGAAATGGCCTTTGTGCAAATATAAGCTTCACAGATTCAGCTTACAGACAATCTAAAGGTTAGTAACTAGTTTGAAAAATTCCATGATCCTCCAGTACCTCTGAATTGTTACTTTAGGGATTTTTTTCCTTTATTTTAGAAATAGCTGTATTTCAGGCTCTAAATGGTTCAGGGAACTGATAAAGTCATTCATCTTTGGATCATCATTTACAATCGAACCCAGGTCAACAGCTCCCAGTGTTTCCAATATTCAATGCTAACTGGTAACTGATTTTTAAATTTGTTTGACAGTGTCAGTGCAGTTCCAACTGAACAAAATCTACATCCCAAACTCCATTCTTAGAATTGTACAATAATTTATGGAAGAATGCAACACAGTTCGGGAGTCTGTGGTTAAAAAGATTAGAACATCTTCTACTCTAGAGGATGACCCATCTTTCAGGGGTAATGGATCAAACTACTCAATTTAGGAGATCAAATGCACCAGCATAAATTCAACATGAATCTCTGACTCTCAAAATGCAAGATGTAAGCTATCAGATGATCTGTGGCATTCCAGGTATGCCAGAAGTAAGGGCTCACACTGAGTAAAAACTCTTTTAAAGCCAAGAGCTGTTGGCCTGTAACAGCTGTCCCTCTCAAGACGCTGTAACTGTTCAAATGCACTAGCATTTAAAATCCATTTAAAGTCCTTCCACTTCATTTTTGCATCTCAGCTATAGAGCTGTTGACTATGTCACCTTCAAAGCACCAATTCCTAGCCTGGAAACTGACAACTTTGGGAGTGCAAATAGTAATGACATCAAAACGAGAAAGCTTGGAAATTTTTAATCTAGATGTACCTCCTTCATTTGGACGTTAAAGCCTGTTCATAAGGTAAGACTATCTGCACTGCCAACACCTTCTGTATGTTGTGCTTAGGTAGATGTCATCTTTTATGGCTTTGAAGTTGACACAAGGAATGAAGAAAATGTTCTGAAAACATAAAGGTGCTGAGGCTACAAAATGTTACATACAACTTATTATGTCTTATAACCAACGAGCTGTTACGTTCACTAATATCATACATTACATGCAAAGCATGAGGGCTGTAAAAGACTTACAGCACCATCATTTCCTTTTCTGGGGAAAGAGGAATGAGAACAAAGCAGAACTCTCACCTAAATCCTCACCAAACATTCTGCCTGCAGCATATAATCAAAAACCTTAGGTATCAAACGCTAAACAAGACTGGCATCATGCATCTAGGCCAAGATCTTCCTGCACATCACAAGTGTTTCTGGCTGCCGGGCTACCTTCTGCTCTGCAGCAGGAGGGGAGGAGGCCGGGCCCAGCGGTCCCTGTCCATGGTACTTCACCAGGACGAGCTTCTGAGACCCGCTCCAGAGCTTCGGGAACTGGGGCTTCCTCAGCACGATTTTGCAATGCCACATTTAATTAATAGGGAAGCTCCACAGATCCTTAGACGTATAGTCTGATGACTAATGGCCAAAACAGCTTTGGCTAGAAGGATTACTGTGGCACTGAATTGGCTTCGAATCAGAGAAGCAAGCAAGATTGAGCTTGAGCTACAGAAGCATTTTAAACAGCTTATGAAATAAAACAAGATCAGTCAGTTCAAGCCAAGACCACTGCAAGGTGTTCATTCAGAGTGCTGGAAGAACTCAAATGTGACCCTCTGAAAAATTGCCATGTTTATCTTCTGAGGTATTCCTCACTACCAGCAGAATGGAAAGTGCCAAAATTTGACACCAGTTTATATATATTGCTCCCGGAAGAAGGCAAAAAAATCCCTACCAACCAGTGCATCTCAAAGGAAAAAAAAAGTCAGTACAGCTAGGAAATAAAAATATAAAATAGAAAGGCTACAAGAACAAAGATAAACAAGCTCTCCCACAGAGGACAGATTAAATACATTGGATCTATAGCTCAGAGAAGAGAGTAAGAAATAGAAACACAGAGAGAAATCTATAAAAAAAGCAAATGTGACTGAGAAGGAAAAGGGGGTTTATTCACTCATTCTTCATTTGTCCCATAATTCATGTTTTATCACCTTTAACGTTTAAAATATGTATCATACTATTTCATACAATGCCCAGTTAGAGTGAACTCACTCACAAGATGGCAAGAAGGTGGAAGTTTTAAAAGGTTCTATAGTTTATTGGAAAAAAATCACAAGGGGAAAAGAAAATCCACCAAAAATCTTGCACCTAGTGTAGGAACTCCCTAACCCACAGACTGCAAGAGGAAGTTTTGCTGAAAACTACCCTTCTATTCTATTTTCCCCATTGCATTTCCTTCCAGCTTCTTTCAGGAGACAAAGTATCAGGCAAGAAACAAGTCCAATCCAATACAATGATTTTTATGTTCTTTTTGCATACATGGGCGATGCAGAAAGATTCCCGTGGCCACTGGCACAAGAGTGCTGCATTTCAAGTTTATTGCCAAAAACAAGAATTTGGGGATTCCTGAAACTATGGGAGAATATCTCTGTGGCAGACTTTTGTGGCAATCATTGACAACTGAGGATGACTTCTCAGCCAACAAAGCAACTGCTTAATGCCAGCATGTGAAGAAGCAACATAATTATTCCACGTCATTGACACCGTCTTTTCAGCTCACTAGCTTCTGAACATAGGGCTGAAAGTCACACAGGGTAGTTTATTTTGTACACAGAGGATAGACAGGCAATCACAATTTGTACTAGTGTCCTACAGGATTCCAAAAAAGGCCAAATGCCAAAAGGCATTTATCTCCTTAATTCCAATATTTATGTGATATGTCAGGTTCCCAGGGGATAAAAAGTTTATAGACAGTGCATTTCGATTTTTACACCTGACATCTACCAGAAAAAAATCACCCTTAGAAAAGGTCAAAAGGATGATAATCCTCTTCTTCCATTCTTGTGTATACCCACCAAAACTACTTCAGACACGTCTAAAGTTCCCTAATCTTTTTATTTACCTGATGTCTTCTAGAAAAATTAACCAGTTTCAGCTTGAGTGAGGACTCTAGGGAAGGTCTGATAAATAGCAACGCACACATACGTCAACATATGACACGTGTCTAAAGTTGGTAACAGTTTTTATTTAACTCTTTAAAATATCATACAGTGAGTAGGATCTATTCTCAAAGGTAAAAATACTCACTAATATGAAGTAGTTGCAGTTCTTACGAACTTTAATGTCTACTATAATATTGTCCTGTCATAACCCAACACGGCTTTGGGACAACTCAGTTTGATATTTAGTCTTATTTATGTTCCATCTCTTTCTGCAGTAAAGATGTACACGTTGCCTTCACTGATATCAGGATGATGGATGGAGCTACCAGTCATAAATTCAGTATAAGCACAATAGTGCAGTGCGCCTTATGGAAACCCTCTCTTCGCTACTGCATTCTAGCCCACTCTGGCAAGTAAAACTTGAGCTCCCTGAAAAGTAATACCAGTGAACTTCCTCAGACCTCCTTTTTCCCTAGATAGAAAAGTCTACCATCCAGAAACACAAGGTCCTCATTAGAAAGACAGAGCTGGAATTCAAATATCTTCCAATTTGCCGTTCATCAAACAGGCATCACTGGAACTAAGCACCTTATCTAAATTATTTGAAGCTTCTTATTAGTGCAGCTGCAAGAGAAGCACTTATTAATGTAAAACTAAATGTGGTTCCTGTGAATTCCAAAGCTGAAATTGAATACAGCCCACTGGAAAACCCTTGAAGGTCAGTAAGGCTGTGCAAACTGTCACCCTTACAGACAGGAAGCAGAAATTGACAGTAGGTCCCAAACTCTATCACAAGAGCACAAAACAAAACAGGCACACAAGTGCTCTTCAGAGACAGTGATCTTATATACATGACATACTTGAAGAAAAAAAGAAAAAAAAAAAGAAGAGTTAGAGCAAGGCAGTACTGTACTGAACTGCATCTTAAATGAGACTGTACTTATTTGATGCAATTGTATTGATACATGATTGGATACAATCTCTATCTAGGTATGTAGACAAAAAGCATTGATTTGTAACAGATGGTCTAGCTGTATCATATCTAATTGCTACAGCTTTACATGACATTGAGTTTGCTAAGAATGTACAAAAGCACCATAAAAATTAACATATGGAAAATGAAGAGAGTATTTTTGTCACTTTAAATGTGAGTTGAGAGGTACTGAGATGAAAGCAGAAGCATCTAGAAAATAAACAAAACTTTAACATAACTTCATCGCTTGTAGGAACTAATCACTGACCAATTCCAGTGACTTTAAAATCTCATCATAAATAATAAATTTTCAAAGAAAACCATCATATGCATCAACTTTAATTAACAAAAAGAAATCGCATCAGACAGTTACAGAAAAAACTTCACACCCAAACCCACAGGAAATAACACACTAGAAAGTATATGAAAACAGCAAGATGTCCTATAGTTAGTTAAGAACTAGTATAAGCTAATGTTCTCACCTCCAACTTTCAAGAACGCAATATTGAACTTTGGTTGATTTTTACCTTTGACAGTTTCCAAGGGCTGCCAAAGCCCACAAGGATCCGTCCTGGCTACATTCAGTGCAAAAACGAAACCCTAAAAAAAAAAATATAAAATTTTAAAGGTCAGCCAAAAGTGGGCATTATTAGGTAAGAAACATATAAAAATGAAAGTCAATTGTATCCAAAGCTCAGCAACTCTTACTCCCAAAACATTTAGAAATAGCCACATTCATCTTCATAAAGTCAGCCTCACTCTTCCCCTGCAATTTATGCAGTACTGGGAGGAAAAAAGCTACAGTTAGTATTAGAGTTAAGAGAAAAGTACCTTTCTCCTCACTATTCTTCCCCTTCAACTGCCACCCTGGTCTAGGAAAGGATTCTTCGAAAGCAAGAAATTTTACATACTGCAAAAAGTATTCACTTGCTGAGCCTTAGAATTAAATTTCAGCTCAACTTTTATCAAATTTAGGCTTTTACAGAATAAAGCTGCACCACTGCTGGAAATGCATCTTTAACTACCTTGGAGAAAACGTTAAAAACCTAATACTGCTTATTTTTTTCACATACTTATTACTCGCCCATCACCACACAACTTAGACCATTCATCAGTTTTCAGAAAGAAAAAAAAAACAAACAACCAAAAAACCAGTTCTTCCCGGTGGCCCACCAAACCATTTAAGAAGTATATACCTGTATCTACAGTATTTAGTCTGCTGGCTGATTAGCTTGCTCTGAATCTTCATTAAATACTATAGATGCAGGCCTGACACTGAAGTCTAACAAAGTACCTTGCATAGTGGGGCATAACAGAAACCTCAAAGTGATATTGAACAGGGAATTCCCCTTTCAAAGATTTACTGGCACTATCAGGAAACTTCGCCACTAGAACCTCTTGAAGAAAAATGGCTAACATTTCCTCATAGGTATAATGGGAATACCTCCTAAAATGAATGCTATCATTTAACTAGGTAGACACTGGAAATTTTATACACATGCAAAGTGTTATTGTTTGGTAGCAAGTTATGATGTTCACATTATTAATCATACTATCCTCTTTGCAGAAGTTTTGAACTGTTTACTTACTACATGTAGGTACAAAACTGAAATGTTTATTTTTCACCCAGAAATGAACATGGAGTCACTACCAAAGTAGTGCAAGCACTACCAAAGCAGAGGTGTAACATGCTCAGTCTTCTCAATCACTCTGAAGTAGTTTTCCAAGTGAAAAATCTACAGTAATAACATCATCACCTTAATATTATGATGTCCCAAAAGCATTAGCAACCTTGGAGTCCATGCCCAAAATGAGAATGTTTTTACCAGGCAAAGGCATTTTTAATCATTGTTAGAAACTGAGGCTCTGGAGACAGAAGCCTAACAAAACATAAACTCTTGATTACTTTTACAATAAGCAAATACATACTCTGAGGTGAGTAAGAAGCCATAATATTTACCACTTTGTAATATTTCCTCCATTGAAAAAAATAAGCACCACTTTCATCTTAGTCAATTATGTAAAGCAATTTGCATTTACCTGGCTTCACTAGACAGTAGGAGATTAAATAAATACTTCTACTACAGAAATATATTGAAAAAAATACACAAAGGTAAGACTAACCCATTCTGTTGTCTCGAAGTTTTCGATTTTTTCTATTAATTTCCAAAGCAATAGAAAAAAAATGATAAATCGATTCCTCAACTGAATGTTAAACTATCATCCATCTCCCTAAAACATCTCAGAAATATCCAGCCATGCCATTTAACCTACTATTATTAATCTAAGTAGTCAAGTACACAATACTCTATAGGTGGAGTCACAGGCTGTTGTTGACTTAGCAGTTTTATCATGTGTTTCTGACACATACCTCCATCCAGGGAGAGCATCAGCCAAAAAGCAAGACTAATGAAGTGTCTGTGCAGTTTTTGACAGCACAGGGTCTGAAGTGGCAGAATAGGAAATACTGCAGAAGCTGGCCAAAAGAACAGCTTATCCCAGAAAGGGGTTGTTGCAGGTGGGATACTGAAATACTGTAGCATTAGTATCTAGCAAAAGCATCCGAAGTTCCAGCCAAGCCACCACATGCTTATGGACCACTAATGTCTCCACGGGAAAAGAGAGAATTGCTACTAATTGTGCCAATAATGTGTCTTATCTCGTTACTGAATCTTATTCACAAAGAGGAGTATGGATTCCTATCCCTAATTGAAAAAAGCCTCTTGTAAGTATCTAACTTATATCAGATAGAAGACAAGAAAACAGATCCTCCTCTTCCTGTTACTCTGACAAATTTAGGCCTATGTTTCTAGAGCAATAACAATGTTAATTAGCAAAGTCAAAGTGGCACAAAGTAGCACTGCAAAGATGTTACAGCAAGGAGAATCTCAGTGTCAACCACGCTGTCAGAACAGAATTTAAATATCATGCATACATCTCCTCCTAATTCGAATCCTCACAGTAATTATCTACTTCTGTCAGCAGCCAGGGCTTCAGGATTAATCCACCTGCATGTCTGGACTGCATAGGAAAAACTTCAGCAGGAAAGCAGACACACTTTGATTAGGTAGCAAGGAAAAGGAAAACCAACCATGCAAAAACCCATACACAATTTATACACCTTTCCTCTGACAGAATAAAGTGGGGGATCTCCCCCTTCCCTCAAGGAAGCGTGACACATTTGGTTCATAACCAAATATTAACCAGCTAACTACAACGCTTGTTAATTCAGGCACCCAGGGACACTGAAAGATCAGACTCAGTTTCTATTATCTTGCCATAGCAGAAACTGTTCATTATAGCTACATACTCCTGGCTTACGTATATTAAGTCCTGTCCTGACAGGCTAGAACTGTATGCATGTACAGTGCAACCTCCAAAACATTCTGTATGTATTTCTAGTTCCAATATTGTTAAGTGCAGTAATTTGCTTAGCTGGGTTAGGGAATCTATGAAGCAGAAGAATACCGGTCAGGTATTCTTCTGCAGTCAGGACTCCTAGACTAGTTTTTTTTTCCAAGTATTTTTTAGGGTGCTGCACTTCTTCCCACATTTGCCCAGCACCAAGTTCTTTACTTAAAGCAAACACCTCCTTTCTGATCAACTCGCATAAGCCGCCTCTGTAGGAACACCAAACTATGCCAGGTGCGCAGAACTGAAAGGAACAGGCTGCCATAAGGAAAACATTTTCTTCAGTTTCTCCCCCCTTACCTCCCATCCAAATCTAGAGAAACAGTAAACACCGGTAGCACATGTGACAGAATTTCCTACTCACTATGAGACACGACAGAACAGTAGGAAGGTCTAAAAATATAACTTCTATTCACAACAGGGAAAAAACATGGGGTGAAACTGATTTCTTGTAGAAGAACCAAGAGAACACACACACTTGTGTTCAAGGAAAGTAATTATGTAATCCTACAATAACTCCCAAATACTAAATATTATGTGTAAAAACGAATCCCATTACCTACCAATTGTCAGATATTTAATCCTATTTTCAAAGACTAACATATCAGCAGCACTGAACTGGCTAACACTCAAACCCATTTCAAATCATTCAGAATCCACCACCCTCTCTTAAACCGCAGCTAGAATTAAATGCTTCAATTTTGGTTTTGCAAAACATAACCAACTTCCAGGAATGAAAAGAGCTCCAGAACTATTGGTTTACCACTATACATCTAAGTTAACATCACTAAAACCTGAATTATTCCAGTTGCTGTTACTCAGGCACCATAAAGAAAGGTTTGTTGTGAAGGTAACCAACAGGTGGTATGTTTTTAAATTCACTGCATCATCTTGTTGGCTACTGCTCACGCTTAATATACAGCATTATCTAGCAACAAACTGTTGCTGTCATTGGACTAGCTGCCATAAACTGTGTATTTTTATCCTGAGCTTCTAGCATTAACTAAGAGCTTTCTGGCCATGATTTTCATTCAACCAATTTCTGACTAGCAACAGTACATTTGGAGACAAAAAGGGGGTCTTTATTGCCCAATGTGGTTTAACTGACACTTTGCTAAGTGGGTAAATGTTTGATGCCAGCAAATTTTAATTTTAAACTTAGTTCTGACTTACATTGTGGAATGATTCTGATAAGGCAACCAAGAGCACATTCCCTGCTCAAAAGGCCTTAAGCTGCCTAAAAACATCACCTCACAAAAAACTAGCTGCTGACATACCTACTAGCACATACCCAATTTGGGTAGTGGGAAGTTAGCCTAAAGTCATTCTCTACTTCAAAATGGTGCAGAAATATTTCATGGTGTTTGTTTTTTGTTGGCAGCATACTGTCACTGTAATAGCCATGATTTACTATAAAAATTATACAGGACAACACAGGTCTCACTGTTCATCCTCTCCACTTTTCAAGACTGAAGAGGGAAATGTAACTTGTAATCCATTAGAAACAATTTGGTAGGAGAAGGAGAGATGCTACTAGTGCTTGAGAAAGGATTTACGATCTCTTTCTTTCACATTGTTAAGAACCATCTCTTTGCATTAGTTAGTGGTGGAAGGAAATCCAGGATTAGCACTTCAAGGAAAACCAAAGATATGACTCTAAACAAAGCAGCCAGGAGGAATGGGAAAAGGCAGAAATCCTCAGCCTCATATTAAAAAATAAGATAAAAACCAGAGAACAACATTCAGCCATGGCAGCTGAATCTCCACAAAATCACTGTGGCATTCTACAGCAAAACATGACACAGGATAACACATCCATTTTGTTTCATTCAGTGTTGGAAAAAAATATGGAGTTCTGCAGCCAAAGTAACTTCTCTGCACTGATGGTTTTTTGTAGTATACGAAAAATGGTTCAGCTGTTAATGTCGATAGGACACAGCCACTTTCAACAAGATAAGTAACTGTAACTTGGAATAGATATCATCTACATTAGTCTGTACTGCTCTTCTAAGGGAATACAAGAATAGACGGACTATACACAAGTTACGTCATTAACCTATACGTACAAAACACAAGCCCAAATTCATAGCATGTAAGTCTTTGCATATCAACAAATATAAATCAAAGCAAAACACTTTCATAAAATAGAACACTCCTGAAGATGTTGTTGTTTTGGTGTCTTGTGGGGT